GCCCACATACAACCCAGCAATTTTAAATTCAGCTTCCCGCGCACCCTAGTATCACTTGCGGCCCCGTGAATGTTTCGGCGGGGCAGTGAAAAACATTAGCAGGCAGTTTTTCGGCGAACGGATTGCACAAAATGCATGATCGCATCGGCTGCTCTGGTGTGCGCCACTATTTATTCATATTTTGTTACATTAACAAAAAAATATAGGTTCCCTTCGAATATTCTACTTTTTTTTTTTATCACTTGCTTCAGACATGTGCCCCCTTGCCCACATCTGTTAGCATTCTACTCTAGCGAAAATGCCGGCAAGCGTTCTTTCTCATTTTCAACTGATTGCATTGCACAGCTGCACGACCTTTTTCTGATCATTCCCACCAGAGCTGCTTTTTGGTAACCCGAACGCAGACGAAGGAAACGCGGTGCGGTGTTTTCCAACTTCCAAAAGCAAGTTTGATCATATTTCAAAACCAGCTAGGCTGTTCGTGCTGGCGGACGAGGATTTTATGAGAAGCCAAAGATCATATGCATCTCCCTCAAGCTGTGGGAAGCCAAAGATCAGTTTATTGCGTGGCTCCTTTTTCCTTATTTGTTTTCATGGCAAGAATAAAAGTGAGGCAAAAGGGCGGATGTGTTTGCAGCTGAAAAAATTTTAGTGTGTGTGCGAAAATGGGAAAGCTTCAGGGACGGATAGCAGAGGTCAGCATAACTCGAGATGACTTTTGGTTTTTAGGGCAGTAGTTTTAAAGACTGATCCAGAAGTCCCGTTCGAAAGAGACAACTGTGATACCAGTATTATTTATTTGTTTATTTACGCAAACACGCTCATTTGCGAACCCAGGGTGCTTCTTCCTATGCTCCTTGTGGATTTCAAGTGTAAGAGTCAAGCAACGCACCCAATAAGCACTAACGCGCTAATTAATTTGTTTTGAAATGGAACAAATTCGATGCAGCGGGAAATGAAACTAATCCCGCTGCATTTTATTTATGATGAATGATTTGATTCATTTGTTGTTTGTCAATGAACTGAAAAAAGTTTTTCAATCATGCAGCTGGTGTCCATGACACATCGTCATGATCATGAGAGGAACACACTGGATGGATACGTTATTGGTTTTGTCGGGAACAAATAGGATTCACGCAAACATATTTTTGGAAAGGGAACTCTTTCGAAGGAATGTCAACAAGGAAGTAGATCAGCTTGAAATCTCTCAAAAATAAAATATTTCTTATTTTATTGATTAATCAAAACTGTAATGATTAAAAACTGTCAGTGATATTCTGGTCGAGAATTCGGCTCCGCCGTTGGAGCAGTCAGCTCCTCTACGATTCGTTCATTCGTTTGGTAGTAATTTGATAACGTTTTTTGCCAAGGAGACAAATCCGCGATCAGCTTGTTTCAACAAAGACGTTCGGAGGAGCCCTGCCAACGTACAGCCACCGCCGAAAACCGTTGTCATTGTTACCTTCGGGCTGCTTTCCGAATTTATCTGCCTTTTATAAAAGATGAATACGGAAGGAGTTTTTATTTTTTATCCCGACAATTTTATAGTGTGTAAAAAAATTTACTCATTTTAAAAGCAATAATTTACTACAGGCTTCCCGGGTACGCTCTCTGAGTCAGTAGTGGGGCCAATCTCACAAACCTGAGGGCTGAATTTGTTGTCATTATATTGTACGTGGGCGAGAACATAGCGGTAAAATCCCAGTTTTCTAGCTTTTCAGTTCCCGAGTTAGCAACTTACCCACGTAAAACTTTCAAGGGCTCATACGTGGGAACCACGTAGGTAAGAGCGTCGTCTTTGGCGATCGGGGCCAGTAAGTGTACGTAGATTAAGATCCCAAATTTTCAGCTCTGTAGCTTTTGTAGGACTCGAAATGAAAAATTGGTACAGAACAATACATACACAGAGAGAACCCCTCGACAATGTGCGTTTTTGTATTGCATACATGCAAGAAACGCATAATAAATTTTTGCAAGGAATGTCCATATTTCCCAATAGTTTCTGCGAATTCACAATTAGCAAGTTCACTCTCACATGCAGTTTATGGTTGAGGTGTAGATGATAAGCTAATGAAATCAAAATAAGCTGTCCGAGAGATTTCCCACTGGTTGAGGACTAGAGGAAAAATTTTTCCTGTAGTTTACGAAGCGTCGCATGAAAATTTTGCGCTGTTTCGAAAAAAAAAGAATGAAAAAGAAGTTGTACATAACGAATAATGAAAAACCAGGTTATGGCTGAATTATATGTAGTGTTAAGAAAACAAACACACCGGACAAATGAGAGCGATCGAAAAACTGGTGCGAGGAAGGACGGCAGCAACAAAACAGAAAGTAATGAGAAATCGAGAACAAGGGAAAAGTAAGAGGGCAACTATTTCTCAAATATAACTCGTGATTGCCAATGTAACAGTTACTGTTTTTAAACGATCAGGAAAGAAGGACGAATACGAGAAAGGACAAATATGTGGCAGACAGACTGGCGTTGAAATCGTTCTCATAAACATTTAGCATGATACTTCATTCAACTTCGGTTACTTGCGCGAAATTGAATTTAATTGTAATACTACGACTGCTCAGGCTTTCTGTTAGTGATGTTGCTAAGATGTCGAGAATAACTATGCCGGGCCTTTCGATTTTGAACTGCATGCCTAAATACACATCACCTATTCTACGTATGCGCACCACCTCCTCGGTTAATTGTAATATTTATTGGAATTCATTTAGTCACCGAGAACGAGTGTACATCCTTTAGAGCTTCACCTACCACTGTGGTAAGTACAAGGTGCGTCAGCAAATTAGTCTAGGCTTTGCAGGATTCAGTCCTGAACACTGTGACTGTAACTTCATCAAAATCCATCTATACTTAGACGCTTAAAGACTTTCTGTCGAGCAAGCTCTGAAGCCACTCTTAAGTGATTACTTCCTGCCTACTGCTACACTTATGCAATATATTTTACAGTTTCATGAAATGATGTGCCAGATATATTTTACAGTTTCATGAAATGATGTGCCAGCGCTGGCTCAACATTACGAGTGCAGTGCACTTTTGTCGTAAATGAATTAATGTAACCATCTGTTGTTGCGACACGCGAAAATGAAGTGCCAGTGGTGGAGTTTCAATTTTTTGAAACATTTCTGTCTTTTTTAACACTTAAAAAAAGAGTCCGTAAATCAGTCTTTAAAGAAAATGTTGAATATTTTTAATTTTTCCGGAAAAAAACGAATCTTTTTCAAGTGCATCTTAAAAAAACGAGCATCTATTTCATTCTTTAGCTATGTTTATGTTTTTTCAAAGTCCCGATCATTTAATTCAAATAACACATTTATTTTATTGCAATCACATCTGGCGTCGAAATTTTCATTCACTTTCAGGGCTTCATTTCCTGTAGGAAACTGAAATCTGCAAGGGCGTGGTGCGGCGGATGGCTGTGTAACTGATGTCATTTATTTGGTGTCTCTATAATCGGTTGTGACAGTTCAGTAGTCGCAGCTGTCAAGTTTTGAAATATTCCCAGCAAAAGAAATTCAGCAGATTTTTGCACAATAAAACACCTGTTACCTTTCTTTTTGCATAGTAAATTTTAGATCTCGGAATCTTCTGAAGTAATGCATGCGTTTACACAATAAAAATGCTTTGAAACGTGCATTTACGTTCAGCCTAGATACCTATTAATCAAACTGCAAAAGTTTGCAATGTGAAGTTTCCAGATCGTATTCTAGAGGTAACGAGTTCAGAAACCTAAAATCGATTTCTTTTATCGCTGTACCGATGAAATACGAAGCAGCCTAATGATTTCACTCAAAAATGCAAGATTAGCGAATTCAGCATTTTTACTCTGCTAATTTAATGAAAAGGATTCGCCGTGTCGGTTAGTTGGCCCATTCGTATCGGAATTGATTGCTAAGAATTGATTTCACTATATGTTGAAATTTAAGAATATACCAAGAAAACTGTCTGCTATCAGTTGAGAATTCCATGTCACCGATATTACTGGGACGCTATCACATGTCGAGCGTAGCTATGCCAGGGCCTCCTACTCCGAGTGTATATTTTGCAGAACTTTTGTGATAGCGGGCCAACGACAGTAAATTAGCAGTTTTGGGAGTTTTTTTTGGTGCGTCAAAACTGATTTGTCCCTGAAGCGCTTTTTGTCCCATTGAAACCCGTTTCGAGTTGACAAATTTACCTTCTGGACTAAAATAAACTCTACAGTTGTTAATTGTTTTATGCTGTTTGTTTCTTTTGTCGGTAATCATCAGCGGAATGATCAAAGTTCGGGAAATACCCCACACAGCTCTGGTTTCCCGGGCAGGAGGATGGCAAAAACTGGGGAAGCACAATCCTTTTTTTGAATGGAACCTGGTTATCGGTCGCTGTTATGAGATTCTCTAAAGGCCTGATGTATAAACAAAGAGAAGGAGGCTTAGGGAGGGAGCTGTGTGCCGAAACTGCAATCTAAGAGACCATCGAACTTTCTTTTCAGTGTTCTTTGGTGGTGCCGCTTAAGCGATTAAAGAACATCGGAGGAGGACACAATTTGTGTACTTTCTATATATAAAGGAATGTTTCCAATGAGCATTCATTCCACCAACCGATGGCGGCGTCCCGAAGAAGATCCTGTCCCATTTTGCCCCAGGGCCCATCGACCATTGGTTTTGATAACTGCTGTAGGTGATTTGCCGTTCCACTTCAGGACCCACCTAATACTACCTGGGATTGCCGTCCTAACTCTGGCATTCATTGAACTGCACTCGCCCGGAGTAATCGGTTCTTTGTAGAGAGCTATTTCTTGTCCTTATTTTTCTCAGATAAAATCTTCATTCTTTTGCAAAATCTCTTCTCTCTCAAAAATCCGAAAATTTTGCCTAAACCAATATGCGTGCTGTACAAATAAGCGAACGCTCGTTTTGTTGCGTTGGTTTTTTACAGTTTATTTGAAAACAGTTAGTTAATTTGTTCAGATAAAAGCGCAAATTACGTTGCATATTGTCCAAGTGAAATGCCAGTGATCACGTTCAAAGTGAATCCGGAACACGCAAAGATGACGGAGCTTGTCCCGAGTCTCTTCATTTGTGGCGTGAGCTCGCTGAACCCGGTGCTTCTCGCACACTGCGGCATCACACACATCATTAATGCCACCAATGAGGTAATTATTATCAAATATTTCAAATTTTCAGTAAAATTTCGTGCGGCTTAAAACGAAGTTTTCCTCTGCAAAATACCCCCGCCCTCTTCTATCAGTCTGAAACACGTGTTTGTAATAGCACTACACGTTTTCCCCGCCCCAAACTAGTGCTGCCTAGCATGTAGGAAACTCAAAGCCCGTTTCGGTTTCCTCTTTAAACAATCCTCGAACAAAGAAAGTGCAATTGGCTTTGTTATCCGCTAGCATCCCTTTATACGGGCAATGATGTGGGCCGTAGAAGAGCTTCTAGAAAATAAGGTAACTGAGGGCATTCTCGTTCTAAGTTCTCCGGCTCGCACAAATTGAGCACTTTAAGCAGTTCTCAAATTGTTTACTACTTATACAATATTTCCTGTATTGTCCTGTTCCATCAGTAATGTTGAGCTTACAGGTTCCGAATCTAAAAAACCTCGCAAATATCCAGCGCACAAAGCTTTGGCTTGACGATACACCACAAACATATATTTATCCACATCTCGAGCTGCAGAGCGATCAAATTCGTGCAATAATCGCCGACGGAGGCAAAGTTTTGGTGCACTGCGTCGCGGGAGTTTCTCGCTCAGCATCCATCTGTCTGGCTTATCTCACGAAATACAGTTGTCGGACACTGCGCGAAGCTTACCATCTAATGGCTAACAAAAGGCCATTGGTGAGGCCTAACCTCGGTTTCTGGAGGCAGCTTATTGCTTTTGAGCAGGTGAGCAGATACAGCAACAGAATATCCTAAAAATTGCAAAACATATGAAGAATTGCATTGTTGTTGATAATGTAGGGATATTTAATGCACTCGGCTTGTAACTCATCCGCGGTGCTGAATTTGGAGTCGAAAGGGATGATACTAGCTAATATGCATTCTTGGCATGCTGATGACAGAGTGCTAAGATTTAGGCTTGTCTCAGTCTGCTTTCCAAGCAGTGCTCAAAAAATTACCACTGTAGTCCAACTAGTGGGTGGTCGCTGTCGGTAAAAGTCTTAGCTTTGGGGTCAGACTAGTGCCTGATTTCGCTCAATGAATTGAAAACTGTAGAGATATTAATCATGACATATATAATAATCTTGATGTTAATTAAAAGATATACAGTAAGAGAGACATTAAGCAGTGGAGGTATTAGTCATGATGTGTACGAAGATACTGATATTAACTGTATGAAGATAATAATCATGATATTATAGCGAGTTTCTCAGACGACGTAAGTGAAGTTCACCTGAAATTTCCTAACTTTAGGGATGTGTTCGTTTGATTGTGATAATATATTTTTTAAGATTTTCAAAGAAGAAATTATGCTTTCAAATACTTAGTTTTTGTAGAATGTGAAAGGAACATTTGGATCCGTGAGGCTTGTTCGAGATGAAACTCAGGAATGTGCTCTGCTGCCTGATGTATACTTGAAAGAAGTAATTCCAAAAAGAAAAGAAGTTAGTTTGTGCAGTTTTTCGAATCTGTTCTTTTTATTTCCCAAAGCAATCAATTTTAATGAAATTTCTGCGATCTCGCGTTTTGTAAACATGCCGTTTTTAATTCCCGTATTATTAATTAATTGGGTTTTTAATTTGTGGTTTGGGGTTTCAGGATAGCGAGAACTGTGCTGAAAAGAAGAAGAGGAAAAATGATGCAAGAATGAAGACCAGCAACTCCCTTTCAATGCCAAAATTCCGGCCGGTTCTTGAGCCGCTTCCGGAATTGGTTGAAGCTACCGCGGCTTGAAGCAATTCTTGTATTCCACAAAGCACTGTAGGAACTGAAACTTGCTAATCCGTCATATGAGTATACTTCCGGTATAACGGTAATAGCAGCAGAGCTGCCAATGCAATACCTTTCCCATTCTCTTCTCTGTTTCCTGCTAGAACGGCTTTTGCAAACAGAGATGTATATTTCGGATATAACGCGATCATGGCAGGAATTATGGCTGAATTGGAGAATACTTTGTCGTCCTGCCGACAACCTGTGCAAGTCTCGTTTTGAGTGCCGCGCTCACGACTACTCAAACGATCTCAGAAGAGATCATGCATTTACAGATTGGCGAAGGTGACGTGTGGTAACCGAAACAGAAGTGTAAAAGGCAGGTATGCCTGTCGCAGCAGTGAAATCGAAAACTCCAAATTAACTGTGCGGTTGATGTTGTAGCACGTTCTATTTTAATTGGGCGTGAATTTTCTGTTGCAAGCGCAATTCAGCAAGGACTGAATGGTGCGGGAAGGGGGACAAGGAGCGACAGGAGAAGAAGGGGGAGAGAGTGCAGCTTTTGATGATCGCGGTACCATTCCTTATCAATAAATTGTTTAAAATATAACTCAAATCGGCCATACTTGCGAATTCGGCATTGTGTCGTATAAACAGAGTTCGTTTGTTGTCTAATTTTCTATGTGATCTCCTTTCGTCTTCTTTCATGTGAATTTTGGTATTGCATTATTTATTGGTACATAAGCAGAATTCTTATAAGTCTGAATTGAAAAGAGCAAATTTTTTATCGGTTGCGAATTTTCTCTTTATTATTTTGGTAGCTTCGATAAGAGATTTATTTCGCTCTGGAACTTAGTCTGCATCTTCATTTTGCGAATCTAAAAAGCCCACTATTTGCCCATCCCGAGGGAAAATTTGACTGTTACTGAAGCTTCATTTGGTTGGAGCAATAGCTTTGCAGTACGGTATATTTGTATCGTAGCTGCAATTCCTCTTGATTATTTCTACTAGCCAGACTGCAAAATGTACTAAGACAGCAAAACCGCTCGGGGGCTATCAATGTGGGTATTCCTTGTAAGCAGTGTTACTGGATTGCTCTCGCATAACTTTGTCAGGGCCATGCGTACCAGTCTTTGTTCATCAACTGTATAGTCTGTATTTTTGAAAATGTTTTGAAAAAAATCATATAGACAAACAAAATCCACAGGGAAATGCACATTATTTTTTATCCGTCAGCTCATGAACTGACACATATCCGATGTTTGTCAGGTATTTCTCATGCTTTATTTGCCATTAAATCAGTACAATATAATTTTATCGTTGTTTCTCCATTTTCGTAAACTGATGTGCTTCTTGAAAACACGAAATTGGTGTTATAGTCTGGAAGTCTGTTTTTACACAATTATTAAATTGCCGGGTGTTAGCGAAGTGATACATTGTGCTGCCTCGGTACTGAAGATCGCGAGTTTGACTCAGCCAGTAAGGCAACAAATCCATTTACGATTCATTTATTAGTTTCATTGGTAAAATGACGCTTAAACAAGTTAGATGATCAAAATTACCAACAAGTTGCTTTACTTTAATTTCCAAAAGAAGGAACTGCCAACGGTGAAAAATAATAGACAAAGTGTAAGAATGAAATGTATTTAAGAAAATTCTTAGCAGAGACAAAAGGGAGAGTGAAAAGAGAAAAATTAAATCAAGTTTTGTTAAGCTTTGTCAGCGGCTGACCATTTCTGTCACGCGTTTAGTACTTGAGCTACCTCCAAGCGCCTCTGCATGTCAGAGAAAGAGTTTTAACTTTGTTGACTCTCAAATCAGCTTGCAGCTGTCTCTAACAAGAAATAAATGCACTGACAGTTTTTTCTATCGACGAATTTATGAGTTGTGCTCAGGATGTTTCTAGCTCGCATCTAAAGCAGTTGCATTTATTGGAATGTGTAATTAATGCCAAAAAAAGTGCTATCATTCGGGGTACTGATGGACTCCGTGACTTTCGATAGTGATGAATTAGGAGGAAGCTGCGTTCTAATTCAGGAATTAAAGTATTTGTTATTTGCCGCTCTTAGTTGCCTGATAAGGTAGTGATAATGAATTTGCCTCTGTTTCTTCAACCAGTTTCTTACGTATCTGTGCATAAAATGACAGCTTGGCAAGACGATCATGTTTATCCACAGCGTGCTTTGTTTCTTCCTTAAACAGCGCAGTTCTTTTCGAGAATATCGAATAAAAATAGTCATGAGGTAGCTGAACAAATAGTTAAAAAAAACTGCTGTAAGAATATAACTTGTTGAACTGTGATACTAATTTGAGCGCTCGCTGCCTAAAATTGGGTCCAGCACTTGGTCATTAATTTCAAAATCTAAAACTTTTGAAGTTTTGGCTTTTTCGGTGAAGACATTAATGAAACCAATGAGGGAATCCACTTGCATATCTCGCTCGTCTCCTGGACATAATGGAAAAATGAATAAAACCGGAGTTGGAAAAATTTTTTGAGCACCTCCTCAAAAAAAATATTCTCAAAATTTGAGCTTTCCAACTTGCGCCGCTTCTGAGTTTAAAATTAGTGATTAAGTTCACTTGTTTTTTATGCGTTTTTGCATATATGCAAATTGCAACCCGGGCTGGAACGCACCGGGCAGGTCCGTGCGATCATGCGTTTTTGCATCGGACTTGAAGTACTCAGATCACTAACTGTATGAATGGCTGTTGCTTTATACCTATCTTTTGCGGTCATTAGCACAAATTGTCATAAATTTTGCAAGGTAAATGTGCAATTTCCATTTAACAGTCGTGCTTTAGAAGTAGCCTATTGTTCAGTGAGAAATTTTTCCGCCAAGATTTTCAAGTGTCCGTTTGTAAGAACCAGGCATGCCTCAAGGCTGAATTTGAAAAACTTAACTTGTACTTGGGCAGGGAACATTCCCGCAAAATTTCAGCTTTCCAGCTTTTCTGGCTACCGAGTTAGCAATTTTCCTCCAAACATTCAATTGCCCGTACGTGGGTATTCCAAGTCCCTGGAAAGCTGAATTTGAAATTTACAAATTGTACGTGGACGGAGAACATCACTCTAAAATTCTAACCTTTCAGCTCCTCTGGTTGCCGAGCTAGTAATTCTCCTGCAGAAGCTTCCACACGTCTTTATGTAAGTATCACGCACAGCTTAAGGCTGAGTATGAAATATTTGAGTTGTACTTGCATAGGGAACATTCCCTCAAAATTTCAGCTTTCTAGCTTTCCTGGTACCCGAGTTAGCAATTTTCCC